TGCAAAGCCCTGTCCTCCACCACGTTCCTACTCTGGACCTGCTGCCGGTGCTGGGTGACTGCCAGGTCACGGCTGCTGTCCTTCATTCCTCTCATCACCCAGCATTCCAAAAGGCAGGCCTGAGGAGATGCTTCTCTTCATGTTGTGCCCATTGTTGGTGGCCTTAAGGACGTTGAGAGGTTTTTCCCAGCTGTTTGTCCCTGGAGGACATCTCACCCAGGTGATCAAGCATGCTGCAATGGAAGGAGCCATCTCTCCTCTGATGTGTTGTCTCTGCCCCCCCAGTGCTTTCGCTTCCCCTTCTCTCTCCTGTGGGTTTCAGGTCCCAGCCTTATCTTGTACAGCTCCTTGGGGCAGTGGCTTTTCAGTAGCGATGGATGTGCTGCGGCCTGAGCCCCACAGAAGGTTCTGGATGTTCCAGCGTCATGGTTTATAAAGGAGAGCCAAGCTTTGGAGGGAGGATCGAGCTCAAGGCAGCAGCAGGACCGGCTGGTGCTGTTGTCCAGCTGTGACTCTGCACCTCTGCATGCTTCTTAGCGAGGTGATGTGCTTTCCTCCTCCGAAACATGTATGGGATGGAAACTCCCTTTTCCAGCCAAGGCAAGACCGTCCCCAATAACCCTCTCTGGACCTTCTGGGGGATGAACTTGCCTCTGCCTGGCTGGGGCGTGCTGCGTGTGGTCACTTGTTACGCCGGGGTGCGCAGGGGTCGAAGTGTTTCATGCTGTCCTTTCCCTCATCATTCCTTTGGTGAAGTTCTCCATGGCTGGCCTAGGAGGTGAGGGACCTCTTGGGAAGGTGAGATGCCATTGCACCTCCTGGCCTTGTGCGGCCTCCACCAGCCTGCTTGGCTTCTGGGGGACCAGGTCTTAAACCCTTCCCTCTTCAGAGTGAAGTTATGCTGGGTGCTCGCCCCATGGGGTGGGCTTCTCGCTTGGGTGGGGAGAGTGTGCGTTTGGGTTTCTCACAGAAGAAAGCCTCTGGGCTTGCTTTGAGATGATTCACCCCAGCAGAAAGCTTGTAATTTCTTGCCTCTGGTCTCCTCTGTTTGTTTAACGAGGCAGCCGACCATCGCTCCTGCTCTTCTCCACCTTGGCACGACCGTGGGGTCCAGCCACCCCCAGGGCTCCTGCCAACCCCTCGCAGGAGGCAGCACTGCTGAGCTGCTGCCTGAAGGCAGCCCGAGGCAGGCAAGAGCGAGGGCAGGAATCCTGAGCGAGAAATTAGTGTGAGTAATTATTAGTATTGGGTAATTATATCAGCGTCAGGATGAGGAGAAAGGTTAATAGGTTTATTTATTTATTTATTTTTGGTAAATGTCTTTTCCCCCGGGTGGGAAGGGAGGCAGGGTGGGCAGGAAGGAACATGTTTCCGAGGGGGCTGCTCTGATTAAACGCATCCTCTCCCCCTTCCCCTGCCCCCAGCTACCCTGCGGGTGTGGGGAGAGGCGGGGAAGCCGTCCCTGCTGTCTGTAAGGGATCAGATGGGAGGCATCTTGTCCATTTCATGCACCACTCCACCCTGTGATGGTCCAAACAGCCTGTCCCCTTCCCTCCAGCTGGGATGGACAGAGTCCCACCGGGCTAATCCCACCAGAAAGGCCCAGATGCTGGGTTCCCACCTTTGCCTGCATGGCAGTGGGCACCATGGGCAGTTGGGTTCTTCTGGCATGGGAAGACATTGGAGTCTGTCTGCTGGTGATCTCCTGGTGTTGGGCATGGGTTTACTTACCATGAGCTAACTCAAAAACTCCTTTGTGTCCTGCCTTTTGGCTAACCAGAAGACAACTTCATTGCCAGGTCTGCCAAATTTAATTTTCCTGAACCCCAAACCCATCTCTAGAGCATCCTTAGCAGGAGAAGAGGCTCTGGAGAGGAGGGTTCCCACATGTGCATGCCTGGTGTGGCTCTGTGTCCCCCACCAGATCACCCTGATGTGTGACATGCTGGGCTCCAGCCCCACTTGACTACCAAGAGTATTTTTAGGTTCTTCCTGGAGCCTCAAATTAACTGGAAGTGCTTCACGTCTGTTGGTTTTTTTAATACATCTCTTTCTCTTTCCCAGCACTGCGCAGTGCAATAATGTAATGGGGAAATTACCCCGCTAGTTAAAAATTACTGCCAGCGCGACATCCAGCCATAGATCTATTTTAGAACCAGGGTAAAACTATATTGATTCTTCTGCGCCACAACTGCGGCCCATAAAAGGGTTGGAAAGGTGCGTTTGTCACGTTGCTCTAGTGAGGGGGGAAGGTGATGCCTTGCTGCTGGGAGTGGGGTTGTTCCACCTTACCCTCCTCTGGAAAGCTGGCTCAGATGGGACTTTGGAGGGGAGAAGTTGGGAGGGAAACGATGTGTGAGGGGGTGTGGGGAGGCAGGGATGGGTCCTGGGGGGTGATGCTGGGTGTTGCGGGGCAGGGGATAATGTGGGGCAGGAGGTGCTGCATCCAGATTTTTGAGGCTTGACCTCTGACGTTTGAAGTAGGAGCAGATGTGGTCCTGGGCAGAAAGACCTCCCCTAAGTGGCAGGCAGAGCCTTTAGGACAGGCTTTTGGCATCTCTGGGTTTGTTCCCCAGTGCACAGTGGTACCCAGGGTGGGGGTGATGGGGAGCAGAGTCTGTGTATGGGTCTGGCAAAGGATGCTGAGAAGGTGATTAAGTACCAGGATGGGTTTGGGTTATGTGAAGGCTGTTCAGTCCAGCAGCAGGACACACAGGGGGTTTTTGGCTGTGCTATGGGCTCCCAAGTGTTATGCCTGGCCCTGCCAAGCCCTGTCCCCATGTCCCCTGGGGAGAGGGTGACCCCTTTGCTCACTGCCGAGTTTTGCAGGACTCGCCACTCTCTGGTAGCTCAGGGGTCTCTTTCTTAATTAAATACATTTGTTTTGTAAAACTGCCTAAAAATAATCCGGGGCTGGTGCGTGCAGGAGGCTGGCGGTGAATCAAAGGCGCCGCTCTAATTAAACAGGCCCCGGTTTGTTTGTGAGCCGCATACATTTCCATGCTAATCAGCTGCACACCGGGATCCTGCTTTCCTGGCCCCGTATCCTCCTGAGTGGGAACTGTGCAAGTGCCGGTGGCGATTTATTGCAGGAGGGGGACGAGGTGCTGGGGCAGCTGCCATGGGGGGCACAAGGGCTTCGGTATGGCTGTGCTGGGCTGTGGGAGTGGGTGTGATGGCCAGGGCAGGGCTGTGGGATGCATTTTGGGGGATGCTTCAAAGCAGTGGATTTGCCCCTGTGCCGTGGGGGATCCTGAGTCCTGTGGCTGGGGCTGCCAGACCTGCATTTTTACAGAATGTGCTGCTGGCGTGGCCCCCATCCCATCCCACCCGATCCCATGGGAGCAGACCATACCCACTGAGCCATTTCTATGGCATCATCTCCCTTGAGGCTGCCCCATGCTGTGGGACAGCCCGAATCTGGGGAGATGTGAAGGGTGGCATTAGCAGGAAGAGTCTCTTGCTCTCAATCAGGTTACGGCAAGTAGCGCAGCTGAGTTTAGCTCCTGCTCAGGGGGTGCATCCAGCCCCGTGGTGCCTCGTGATGTGTACAGCCAGAAATGGGTGTACTTCCGAAGAGCTTTAACATAATTGTGAGCTGTAAGGGGATTAAAGCCTTTGCCACGTTCCTGCTCAGGGAACAAAGGCTCTTTCTGAACCTCTGTTGACCCCCAGCTTCCTTGAGACCCTCTTGACTTCCCCGGTCACGAGCCCAAGCGTTTCCTCTGATGGATGGGGAGATGGGAGCTGTGCCTGTGTGCACTGCAGTGTCCTGCCCAGCCGGGGCTCAGTGTGGTGTGTGAGCCACTCGTGGTGTTGCTGTGGCAGGATGGGGTTTGCTGCCCAAACTTGGGGCTCATCTGTGCCGTGCTACAAGTTGGAGGAGCTTTGGGGCTGAGGAGCAGTGAGGGAAGCAGGGCAGTGCAGAGGAGGGCTGTGGATGTGGCTTCCCTCCCTGGAGAGGGGTGAATGCTGTCAGCAAAAATGTGGGACAAATGCAAAAAAGGGAAGAAAACTTTGCAGTTAGGTCTTCTGGATAGAGTTGGGATGTTTGCAGCACAGCTGCTGCTTTGCTGTGCTGTGGTGGCCGTGGCGTGGCCATGCTGGTGTGGGATGGATGGATGGCATCCCTAATGGGGCTTCTTCCCCTTCCCACTCCCTGGGGTGTGTGAAAGACCATGCTCACCTTTCCTTCTTCTCCCCGCAGATCCTGGTGGACTTGACGGCTGAGAGGAAGCACCAAGCGCTGCAGTATGAGAACGTCGTGGCCCACGAGGGCAGCTCCATCCTGCGAGACCTGGCGCTGAGCCCCGACCGCCAGCACATCTATGCCATGACCGAGAAACAGGTAAGGGAAGGGGATGGCAGCCGCCCTGCTCTCCTGCCTTGGCAGCCCCAGCCGGCAGTCCCTGCGCTGGGAAGCCATCTGGGCAGCTCCCCAGTGGGGTCTGGCCTTTGCTGCCTGAGGTCTGGGCTGCCTGGGGACTCCTGTCCCAGGGAACAGCAGCAGCTCCTCCTGCCTCCTCTCTGCAAAAATGGTCTCTGGCCCTGCTGTTCCTCTCCTCGCTGAGGCCCTGCCCCAGGCAGTAATTGTTAGCAGCAGCTGCTTGAAATCCCTGGAGACCGAGGGCTTCCTGACCCTTCCTTGCTGCCAGGGTCTGGCCGTAAACCTCCTCCCTGTTCTGGCCATCCCCTCCCGAGCAGGGTTTTTACAGGTCAGCAGAAGCTCCTTGCTCCAAATGGCTTCTTCTCCTCTGGGGCAGCTGCTTTTGCACCTTGGGGTGGAGTGGATGGTGTGCCCTGAGACCCTGATGTGCACACCTCAGCCCCCGCCTCTGCTCCTGCTGAGCCAAGCAGAGGTACAGACCTGATCTGGATCTGGCACTACCCTCCTGGCAGCGCGGATGGGTCTCACGATAAGCAGTTTTGGTTGGCTTTGCGAGCGTTTGTGTGCGCCCCAACCTGCTGGAGAGCTTGCTGGCGTGGGTTCATCCATCCATGGGCTGCGTTGCAGCCAGTGAAGCAGGTTCCTGCCACGGTGGTGGCACTTCTTGGATCTGGTGTCAGCGGGGATGCACGCTGTGCCCGGTGGGGTGACACATGGTGGCTGTGCTGGGACGTGGTGTACCTGTGTCTTGCAGCATCTCTGCTCCTCTGCCTGGCAGAGGTGTGCGCGACTTGGGCTGCAGTGGAGCCTGGAGCGTAACAGGTCTCCTGGCCACCAGCCCGGGGGCTCGGGAGGGGGAAGGATGCTGGAGGAGGGCCGTGGGTTTGTCTAGACAGCCCCATGGGGACAGCAAAGCCCTTTCCCTCCTCCTCCCAGTGCCTGTCTCTGGTTTCTGCTCTGCTGCAGGAAACCCGTGGCTTTCCAGGCGAGGCAGAAACTGGGTTTGGACTCCTCTATGTTTCTGTCCTGGGCCTGGCTCAGCTAAGCCTCCCCTCTCTGGGGGAGATGTTGGAGATGTGGTTGTGGGTGGTGAGTTAAGCTGAGCTGGACTGGGGATCTCCCCCAGGGGCCAGTGCAATTGCTGGGAACCACATCACGCCTGTGCAGGGTCTGCCTGGGCGGGGGGGAGGGGATCAGCTGCCGACCCCCTGGCCACCACCAGCCTGAAGTGATGTTGGGGACAAACAAATGAGAACGTTACAGGCTTCCTCATCGGTATGCTCACCGGAGGGTACAGAGGCCAGCTTTATCCTAACCCTGTAGGCATCATGCTGAGCCCATCCCCTGCTGGGCTGGGAGGAGAGAGGGCACCCCGAATTTAACCTTCAGTAGAGAAGTTTGCAGATTTTAATTAATGAGTGCGTCTTGCCTGAGGGAGCAGTGGGGAAACTGAGGCAGGGGCGCAGCAGGCACGGGCAGCTGCCTGGTGCTGCCGACTCATCACGGTGGGCGAGCGGGCAGCTCCCTGCTTCCTGCACCCCCTCCCCATTCCCTGCTTCTCCCCTCTCCTTAATAAAACCCCCTCTCCTCTACTACAGCTCGGTGTTATCAGAGCGCTGGTGGAAAGTAATTAAATGAACAGTTGTAACGGAGCTCGAAGGGCTCAGCGAACGAGGGGATTTTAATCAAATCTGGAGGAGCAATTAATAAAGGATGGGTAACCCTTTTGGAGCAGGGCTGTGGCAGCCGCAGGGTGCCTGGCCAGCACCAGGAGCTGGCGTGGAGCTGAGCTGGCACAGCCCACTTCCACAACTCTGCAAAGATGCAACAGTGGAAGGAGCGCGGTTGGGGTAGAAGCCTCCCTGGGGTGACGGGGATTGCCTGCAAATGTGCTGCCTGAGCCCAGGAGAGGAGTGGATGATGGTGGGGGGCTCAACCTGTTCCGTGCTGCTGCCTCCTCTCCAACAGGCCAGAGTGAGTCTTGCCTGGGTCCATCTCTGCAGGATCTGGGCTTGGGCACAGCAGGGAAACACCCAGCCTGTCCCCTGTCACTCCCTGCCTGTTCCCCGCAGGTGACGCGGGTGCCGGTGGAGAGCTGTGAGCAGTACGAGAGCTGCGAGCTGTGCCTGGGCTCCCGGGACCCCCACTGTGGCTGGTGTGTCCTCCACAACATGTAAGTACCATAAGATCATCCCTGGGACCATGCCAGTGAACCATGGTTGGCAAACTGTGTCTGTCCCCACTACTGGCCTCCTTGGGGACATCCCTCCTGGACTCTGACCAGGAAATGCAAGGGGATGGAGTGGTCCAAGGGGTCTGTCATCCCCAAACCGTGGTCATGAGCCCTCGGGGCCCCTGGGCTCCCGGGTTTGGCATCCTTGTGCCAGTAAGAAAAACTGAATATAAAACCCCCCAGAACTCCCCAGCGCTGTCACTGGGGGAAAGCAGAGCTCCCATACGGGCCTTGGGCACTGAGGTCCCTAGCTGGGCATCGCCTCCATGCCAGAGGGTCTGTTTGCTGTGGTGCCAGCCCAGAGCTGCACCAGACCCTGGGGGATTCTTCTCCTCACCGTGGTGGTTTCACTCCCTCCAGATGCTCACGCAAGGACCGGTGCGAGCGGGCGGACGAGCCCCAACGCTTCGCCTCCGACCTGCGGCAGTGCGTCCAGCTCACCGTCCAGCCGAAGAACATCTCGGTCACCATGTCGGAGGTCCCGGTAAGCCACCTTTGCTGCCCATGGACCCTTCCCCAGCCACCTCCTGACCCTCTGGAGGCAATGGCTGGGGAGGTGGCAATTAAAAATAAAGTGATGAGTATACAAGTAAGGATAAAGGGGAAGAGAAGTCTGAGACAAATAAAACATAGCAAAGTGCAGGGCATTGATGAGGGCTGGCCTATTGATGGAGATAATAAACCAGTTGATGATTATTCAGAAAAGACATAACCAAGCAATAAATATATCTCTGTAATACAAACAACAGCTTTGGAGTTGCTGTTCGTAGGCCAGCAATCCATCTAGCTCAATAGCCTGTCTCTGACCCTGGTCTACAGTAGATATTTTGGGATGAGCCTTCGAAGCACAACTGGCTGCTCTCTCTGTGCAGACAGAGAGGATGATGGACTTCCCCAAAGTATTTTCCAGGCCATTAGCGCTGTGAAGAGAATACGAAACAGTGTATACTAGCAATAAAGTTTTGAAAACTGCCAGGTCTGGATATCTTGCACTCAGGAGTCCTAAAGAGTTGGCCGAGGAGTTCCATGACCTGCAGATATTTGTAATAAATAAGTGAATGTTGAGAAAAGCCCAGGAAACAGAAATAGTACTCATTTTTTTTGCCCAGATGAAGAAAGGCTCACATGGTTGGCGACTGCTTCGTTTGACATCAGGTTTAGCAAAACTAAAGGGAAAAAACTAGTGCAGGATACAACCGATGAAGAATTAAGGATGGGATATAATTAATGCCAGTCAATGTGGTTTTATGTCAAACAAACCACATTTTGTTCTTTGATGAAATTAGGACTTGAATTAGAAGAGGGACTGCGGGGATGTGATGTCTTTAGGCTTCAACAAGGCATTTGACTTGGTACAACACAACGTTCTGATTAAAAATTAGCATTATACAATATTGATAAAGCACGTGTTAAGTGGATTAAGAACTGGCTCCGTGACAGAACTCAAAAACTCCTCATCAGAGGAGAATTGTCACTGGATGGGAAGTGCTTCTGCAGGGTCTAACATTGGTTGGTAAAGTGGAAATAATGTGAGATGGCTGCAAATGGAACCTGATGGGATGCTGAGACCAGTGAGGGTGATACACGGTGAGATCCCCATGCTGAGCAGTTGAGTCTGAGTGGGGCTGGTGTAGCTGAGAAAATGGGGTTTGATATTGCCAAGTCCAGAGTCAGATGTGGAGGGAAGAGGCAGGCATTTGCCTGGCGTCCTGGAAAGTGGTGCCAGGGCTGAGCCCTTGCTGCGGTGCTCTCGATGCTCCTTGGGTGAAGCTGGGAGCTGGGTGACATTTTTGGCTCTGTGGGTGGTTGTCTCCCTGACCGATGGCAGGATGCTGTGTGGAGATGTTGTGCTCAGGCTGGAGTCCAGCTTTTAAAAAGGGAGGTTGAAAACCTTCCGTAAACATCATGTAAATGAGTTGAAGACTGGAGAAAATGCCTTGCAGTGAGAGACTTCCACAGCTCAATCTGCTTAGCTTATCAAAAAGAAGATTAAGAGGTGACTTGATTACAGAGTATAAGTGCCTTTACAAGGAGCAAATATCAGCGACTAAAGGGCTTTTTAATCTATCAAGGAAAGGCATAACAAGAACTAATGGCTGGAAGCTGTGAAAAATTCAAATTAGAAATAAGGCAAGCGTTTTGTAAAGTGAGAACTGCTGACCCCGGGAATGACTTTGTGAGGGGAGAGGTGGATTCCTCCCCTTCTCGGCTCTGCCGGAGCGGATGCCTTTCCGCGAAACACTCCAGCCCCGACCTGTGCTTGGTCTCTGCAGAGGTGAGGCGTAATCGCTTGTGGTACTCGAGGGCAGAAGGCTGTGAGTCATTCCATCTTTTAACTCATTTACATCCTCTCTCCTTGTGTGAGTAGGAAGGTCCATGGATGCGGCTCACTCATGAAAGCCTGGAGCAGGTCTCCCCACCCCATGTGGGTGGTGGAGGAAGGATTGCACTCCTGGTCTTTTCTGTTGGTTGGATTTACACATAGCAGACATGGAGAGGTCTTTTTTGCTAGTTTTCTGTGTTGATGGTCTTCCTTCTCCTCCCTAGCTGGTCCTGCAGGCTTGGAACGTCCCAGATCTCTCAGCAGGAGTCAACTGCTCCTTTGAAGACTTCACTGAGTCTGAGAGCCGCATTGAAGATGGGAAGATCTACTGCAGCTCTCCCTCTGCCAAGGATGTCATCCCCATCACCAGGGGCCGTGGTGAGTTTGTGTCCCAGGGTGGGAAGAAAGCCTGAGACAGCCCTTCTCCCTCTTGTTGCTCCACAGCCAGATGTGGAGGAAGACAGTTCTCATGTGATAGCAATCCCTGGCCCCTGAGCAGGAACTGAGTGTCTTGGGGTGTAGGAGGAGGAGGACATTGCTGCTCATGGGGGACTGGTCCTTACTCTCCTCCAAGCCATGGGCACAGCTGCTTGCTGGCACTGCAGTGGTCTGGTCACCCTGACCTCACTCCCACCTATGGGCCACGCCTGGACAGATGTGCTGTAGGTGACTGTGGGTTCTCAAACATTCTGCTGACTCCAAAACTGTTAAGCTCCCCTCCAGTACCACCAGTACAACCTAAGGCACTTGCCTCCATGCCAGTAGGTTGCAGTTAGCTGTAGGGGCTCAGAGCTTTACTAGGGTTCTGTTGGCCTATTTGGTGGCTGGGTTGGGTGTGAGTGAACACTTTTTATTGCAAGATTTGGAGGATTTTGTTAGTTAACTGGGATGGATGATGATACTGAGCTACCTCCAGCCCCTGAGAAGCCTCGGGCTGGATACTGGGCTGTGCACTGTGTCCTTTCTGATGCCTTTTTCCGCCTGGATCTCTCCCAGGGGACAAGCGAGTGGTGAAGCTCTACCTGAAATCTAAGGAGACGGGGAAGAAGTTTGCCTCTGTGGATTTTGTTTTCTACAACTGCAGTGTCCATCAGTCGTAAGTGGCCTGGGCTTTGCAAGCATGCTCTGGGAACAGATTGGTGGGGCAGTGTGAGACTGGGGGAGAGACATCTCAGCTTTGTGGGTGCTGATGTTGCAAGAGGAAAGGGCAGTTGAGTATAGTGGTGTTTGCAGTGAGAAACCTCCTCCTTTTGCCTTTGTAAACTGGGACAGTGACCAGAGCACCCACAGTTGGTTTGGACATGTGGGAACATGTGTCATCGGGGCAGACCCTCATTTAAAAACAGAGCTTTGGGTCTGGCAAAGCTTTGGAAGAAAAAGCGAGTTTACTGCATTGCAGACTGTAGCAATCCATGTGACCGAAAATGCCAGGCGTCTTGTTATTCCTGGAAACAGTTAATAGGAGTGACTTGGTGATGCACAAGGAGAAACCTGTGTTTTTCTTCGATGGGACCTGCTTCCCAGCCTTGCTGGAGAGCGAGCTGGAAAGTTACAGCAACACGGGGTGGAACATGCTGCATGTTCTGGGACATTTACCCAAGAATTTCCTAACTGGAAGTAATTGTGAATTTGCTTTCTTGTCATGCTACCTTGAAATCTATTCCACGTAAGGGTTTTTAGGCTGTTTGAGATACGCATGTGATAAACCAGAGGGGTGTGGATTATTGCTGTGCTGTCTGAGCAGGGTGTCTAAAGCCTCTAACAGCGAGCTCCTGATGAGGAGCTGCAGACCGTGTGCTGGAGCGGTGGGGAGATGGCTCTGCTGTGGGAACATTGGAGGAGATGCTGGGGTGTGTTTGGGCAAAGAATTTGGAGCTCAGGAATGCAAGCTATTTCATTACCCTACCAGAAACCTCCCATGGATGGTGGTGCTCTGGCTGATCAGTAATTATAGATAAGCAAATGCAGAGTGATCTCTTTCCAACGGCTTTTTGCAAAGTGTCTAGGCTGGCTGAGGGGCTCTGCTGTGCAGGTTGCTCCTCCAAAGCCAGTTTAGATTTTCCACTTTGATCAGGGGAGAAAAGCAGGTGAGATGCAAGTGCCCCAGCTGGGTACCTGCCATGAGCTCTGAGGGGGATGTGTCAGAGGAGAGCCCCAAAGGGCTCGTCTGCCTGCGAAAGGGATGCAGCAGTGCCTGTGAGGAACAGCTCCTGCAAACCTTGAGCATCGCAGCCCTGGGATTTCAGCATTTCTGCCCTGTCTGCTCTTTGCACGGGGAACAGGGCTCTGCTGCTGGGAGTGCTGTGCCGGCGAGGGAGGAGAGAGTTTGCAAACTTGACTTTCTCCCTCACCTTGACTCCCGAGATGAGCTTTGTCTCCCTTCACGTCGTGTGGTTTCAATAACATTAGCTCAGCTTTGGCTCAGGCTGGCTGCATGTCATTATTTTGCAAATCAAAAAGCAAATGTGACTTTTATTTTTCTAAATGAAGGAAAGAAGACTTTTAAGTACAAATGGCGTCAGATTCCAGCCAACGGGGGCTCCAGCATTTTGGTCCAGTGGGAAGAGTTGGTGAGGGAATTGGCATTTTATTTTATGTGCCTGACTCAGGAGGGAAAAAAAACCCTAGCGCCCCCCCCCCCAAACAAACCTACAACAAAGAGCCCTGACTGATTTATTACTGCGTTGATGTTTAATTTTGGATGCATTATTTAAAAAGGCTAATTATGGATGCATTAATATTTATAGGCTCCGGTTGGAGCTGATAGAAAAGTCCATGTTCTAGGCTGGTGAACATTATCATTATTTTCCTACGTCAAGAGTTTTAGGGTTTGGAGGCAGTTTTAACTATGTGACCTCCAGTCAAGTCATAGCCAAAAAGCATGACAGTACCTAGGATGATGCAATACTTTTAAATACCATTTGCAGACAGGCATCTTTAATGGATCTCTTCAGAGTTAATAGCCTTTCAGATCCAGGTTTCATATTTTGTGGAGGAAAATCTATACGTCAGCCTGATAAATTCTGTATTAGGAACAATATGCTTTTCCACGAGGCTAATGTTTTTCCTGTGGAGTTCTCTGATCACTGTGCATTACTTTTTATATTTGGGTGGCTTTGCTTAGGTTGGGAGCCAGGGGCCTGCATGTCAAATCATTTCTCAGCTGAGGATGAAATGTTTAGGTGAGATTTTTTAGGTGGCAATGGAGAGATGGGAGGATTGTAAGGCAGCTCTTCTCTGGTGTCAGATGGGGTAGCTCCAGGGAAGCCAGTGCAGTTCCACCGAGTACGCTGGCGAGAGTCTGACCCTTCTTATTTTCAGCAGATGCCTGGAAAGGCATCAGCAAATCGTACTGCTAAAGCCCTTTTGCAGGCTGTGGGGTTGATCCTGCTGCTGTACCAGTGTCCTGGCTCTCTTGTTTCTCACTGCCTTGCAAAACTCTTCTTCCCATGCATTTTCAAGGACTGTTGGAACCAGCCTGGTCCAGGGAGGGGTGGCAGAGGGGAGGATGTGTCTAATCCCTTCTCCTACTGGGAAGAAGGGGTACAGAGGAGGTTGTGCTGCCTGTATGTTTGGCTTGTGACAGTCAAGACCGAGGAGATGCCTTCCAGGTAGAGCCCTGTTGCTGTCCTGTCTGTTATCGCAGGGCTTTGTAGTGTCACCTGGTGTGACGAGACTGTCCCCATTGCAGAACAACATCGCTGGCTCCAGGAGAGCTTCTCTGTGCAGGGTCCCTGGGAGCCTTGGTCTGGGATTCACGCCCTCTCTGGGGCTCTGTTCCTTGCTCCAGCAGGGTCAACTGGAGAGCTTCAGGGGGTCCCAACTTGAGGTACCACATCCTGAGCCTTGGGGCTCTCATGGGGTTCAGGCAAGGGTTTCCAGGCAGTGGCATCTTTTGGACATCTTGTTCCTTAAAGGCTTGTGCATCAGGTGGGGGATATTTCTGGCTGAGCTGTGAGAGATGCATTGAATTGGGGGAGTGGGAAGCTGGAAGTTGATGTAGAAAAATGGGTCCCTTGCAAAGGGGGATGTGGGTGGCTGAGGGTCACTGCCAGCCCATGGAGTGGGAGCAGGCAGGGCTGACTGCACAGACTCAGCTCCTGGTGACAGGCTGTGGTTCCTGTGGTGGAGGAGGGGATGGAAAACCCCATGGCAGGGACTGGGGTGGGTTCCCTTAGGGATTTCCTATGGGGCACCGATCAAGCACGGGCATTTAAAGACCACTCGGTGCCTTTGATCGTCTAATGAATCAGCCCGTGTTTGGCGCGTGCGCGGGCAGATGTTGAGGTCGTCTTTGTCAGCGTTAAACTCCCTCTTCAAAGCATTCGTGGGGAAATGAGTCCCCTTTCAAGATAAAGACGTAACACCAGGCTCCCTGCCTGCCTCTGGCAGAGCTCAGGCTTGCCGGCGAGGTGGGCGAGTAGGGAATCCTCCCAGAAGGCAAGCGAGCAATTCCAGGGATTACCAAGATGTATTTCTTCCCACTATTTCCACGATTGCTCTCTGGGTTTCTCCTCTGGAAACTCTGCTCTGTAAATCCTTTTGCGGTTTGGCTTTTCGGAGAGCGTGACTGTGGGGAGGGGGCTGGCAAGTGGAGGGGAATGAGGAAGAAGACAAGAGCCTTCAGTGCTTCCTTCAATGCTATGTGTAGGTTTTGCAGTGCTGCTGGTTTTTCAAGCACCAGTGTGCCCAGTGCGTCACCAGACTTCCCGCTGCCATGACCAGCCATTGCAGCATGGGTGCAGGAATCCAGGTGGTGGCACAGGGGAATGGGGAAAATCGCGTGTCAGTGGGTCTGGTGCTGAGAAGGGATCCGAACAGCCTGGAGACCTGTGCTGGTACATGCCCACGGTGTTTCTTCTCTCCGGGAGGTGGTCATGATGCTACCAGCCTTGTGGTTGTGACTCACTGTGGTGACAGTTGTGACACCTGGGTCCCATCAGCTGCCAGGTGCTGAATTTCTCCGAGGCTAGAGCAAGACACAGACATGCCAAGTGTCTGACTCCTCCTGGCCAGAGAGATGTGACTCTGCCATGTCCCACAGGTCAGGCTTTCCCTGTAAGCCTCCATTAAGAAAATGGGATTTTAATACATGTCCCAGGGGCTGGGAGCAGCTGGGGCAGGGCCGGCTGGGCTGCTGTGGTGGCCAAGGCACCCGTTGGCCCCTGTGGGATGATGCCAGCCCACGTGCCGCTGGGCTCCTTGCTGCAGCCTTTCTGGCTGCCCGCACACAGCGTGGCTGCTTCTCCACTGGCCCAGTGCTGCTCGTTTCCAGATGTTTACAGATGCTTTCTTTTCGAAGGCATGGACAGATGGCTGCAAGCAGTTGAGTGTATCTGAGTTAGCACGGCTGAGCTGTGACACGGTAACAGATCCCTGTGTATTCCTGGGCTGGGGCAGGTGGAGAATCCTGTAGGATGGCCCCAGAGACCGCTCGGGATAACCTGGTTTATGTCACATTTGTTGTGAATGAGGAGAGGCTGGTACAGCCTGGTGGTGGGTTTCATTGAGGGGAGGTGGCTGAAGGTTTTTTAAGTGAATTATCTTAAAAACCATGGCCTGATCCTGCATGCTCCAGCAAACCTGGACCATGCTGCCGCAGCTCTGCGTGCCCAACCCCTGCCCTGTGAGTAAGGCCCTTGGCAAAACCCAGCAGGGATGGAAAAGCATCGAGCTGGCACGTAAGGAAGGGCAGAAACAGAGTGAGCTGGGCAGGGATGGAGGGAGGTGAGAGCTGATCTTCCACCCCGTGCCTCTCTCTTTGGGTCTGGGCACCAATCAGGAAGGATGGGGTTGCCTGTGGGTCCGTGTAGGGTCTTGGGGGGAACTGACCATCTGTTCCTGCTGCTCTTCAGGATTTCCCCCCTTCCCTGGGGCAGAGAGATGGATTTAAAGCCCAAAGCCCTGCAGTTGAGCCCCTCACCCCCGACAGCTGTTGCTGCAGATGCAGGCTATGCCGGAGCTGAGTATTCACTAAGGATGTTTCCTCCTTGCCAAGAGGAGGTCTGAGGAGCAGTCGGGGGACTTGCGGGCAGACTGTGCTGTGCGTGTGCAGATGCTGTTTCCATCAGCACCGTGTTTATAATTTCCCTTCTCAATGGACCTCCCCTGCTCTGCTCTTGGTGCCGTTCAACTTACCCTCATCCCTCCTCCCTGCCCTTCGCCCCGTGTCCTTCCTCCAGGAATGCGCTGCTCCATGGAAATAGCCTTAGTGTCTGTCTGTCTCTGTGTGTGTGTGTGTGTGTGTGTGTGTGTGCACACACGTGTGCAATGCTCACACCCCGTCCCTCTCATGTTTGCTGCTCAGGTTTATCTCACCCCTGTGAACACTGGCTTTGTTTTCTGCCTTCCCTGCTCTGTACGCTGCAGACCCCTGGGCTCCTTCGGGCACGTGGCACCCCTGGGGCTGGGAGTGCGGGACGGAGCTGAGTGAGGAGCCTGGATCTGGTGCCACTGGCTTCCCATCAGCTGCAGCATCACTTTGGATCAGGCGTGGAGGCAGCTGTGACCTTGTGATGGTGGCTGGAGGTG